GGTGTAAACTGTCTCTGCTGTAAACTCTTTCTGGTGTAAACCTTTGTTGGCCTTGTCTGGTGTAAACGACGTCTGGTGTAAACCGTGTCTGGTGTATAGACGGTGTCTGGTGTAATCGATGTCTGGTGTAAACTCTTCTCTGGTGTAAACCTTTGTCGGCTTTGTCTGGTGTAAACTTTTCCATGGTTACTTCGTCTGGCGTAAACAACGTGTGGTGTAAACCGTGCCTGGCGACATGCACCATCATCATCATTATCATCATCATCATCATCACCTTCATCATCATCATCATCATCATCATCATCATCCTTATCATCCACATCATCATCATCATTATCATCATCATCGTCGTCAGCACCATCATCATCATCATCATTACCAGCAGCTACGTCATTGCAATCGTCATCGACCTCATCGTTAGCTCATGATCACAATAGCATATCACGGGCGTATCGTGAGATCATCATCTCATGGCACATCATATTTTCATATTTGATGTCACCAGCCACGAAGTTACAAGTATCGGCGAAAAGCTGTGAATTGGCTATTGCAAAGTGTCGTGACCAAACTGATTAGAAGGACCTGGGTCCACGACCGGAAGTTGTCCGAAGTCGACCCTTGTTCCAGCTGAACGTGCAGAGACTCCACAAGGCACGAGATCCACGACCGAGAGTTGTTCGAAGTCGATCCTGTTCCGACTGGGTGTGCAACTATATCTGATAACCGACAAAACAACATGAGTTGAACTGTGGGTAATTTGTTTTGTTTTTCAAGTGTTGCATTTGTATGAGCATTGGTTGTCCTGATGCCAGGTTGGGACGTGCGATTTCGCACACTTCGGCGGCTCTTACTACCGGGACTAGCGTTTGAGCTCGACCGGCGCTGGATAAAAAAGAATCGACCGGGACTACCGTTTGGGCTCCGAAGTACAGTGCAACAGAATATACATTAATAGATTTGGTAATAACGTGATAATAGTATCATAATCATAATGTATATATATATATATATAGATATATATATATTATATATTGTGTCATCTCATCATCATCTCATTTTGTTTCATCTTAATGTTTTGAATCATCATATATCATCTCTTCATTTCTTTAGTGCTCATTCATCTTCTGTTACTTCGCTTTTCTTCCCTTCTATTTGTTCTCTTCCGCCTACTTGCTTTCGGGCCACCCTGTCGTCTAGTAGACATTTTTTCATGGCTGTTGGTGGCCCAACAAGTGTTTTGAGAGCTCGCCACGGAAACGCCAAAACACTTCTTCATTGGTTGCCAATAGCATTGGTGTAGAACACGTGTTGCAAGCAAAAACGTCAACACAGTGAGTCGACCAACCCTTGTCATCCCTTTCAACCTTTTTCTGGTGGTTTTGGTTTGTTGCAGCTTTGGTGTTTCTGGTGCTTTCGACTCTCCGAGGCAAGTGGGGCAAGAGAAGGCGATGTTCAACCATCTCATCAGTTTCTTTGCGGGGACCGCCTCTGATGACGAGAACGCGGACGTGGGCGAGATCAGCGCGAAAGCCGGATCATGTGATCACATGCAAGCAGAGCACTGTTGTTGACCGCCAATCATTCTTTGCTGGGAATTGGATAAGCCGTCCGCATGAGTCATTACAAAAGGCATTTGCAAACTTTTTATTACTGAGCAAAAAGGCAAACTACTCTCATCTCGTATTATCACGTTTTCTCCATGCAGAAAAACGTTCAGGTGACTTTAGGTCGTCATTTGTGGCATCTAGTAAGGACCATTCAATGATTTGGTGTGTTTTTGTGTTGGTTCGATCTTTGCCTTGCAGGCCTTCAGAGATAAGGTGGATGATCCGAAGTTCCGCTGCTACCTGTCTCTTTGCTCCAACTGGCTGCAGGTTTCTGGATTGGTGCCCTGAAAGATTTGAAGCACCTTAAGAATCTGTGGGTGGATTCTTTATTGGTGTTGATTTGATTTTGATGTATTGTGGGGTCGTCCAGCTGCAGCAGATTTGAACTTTTTTCAACCTAGCCACCAATGAGTTGTTTGGTCCCAAAGGTGTTTTGTGGTTAATAGATATGGAGCAATCATGTCCTTTTGATGCTTTGAGAGGTGCCCTGGGCCCTGGACCCAAGGTTTTCTTACTTTTGTCAAGCTACAACTCGGGTATTCTGGCGCATGGCAAGTTAAGTTCCAGTACCGAGGTCTGCTCACGGCATCGACATCAAAAATGTGACAGGGCGGCAGGGAAGATGGACGGCGGTTCCAAGAACTTTAACCTGCCGGGGTGAACCACTTATATAATGACAATGAAAGCACATGGAATGTAGGGGTACTTTCTTTTTGGTGTGGTACTCGGTAACTTGAGATATGGTTTGAGTTCTAGCAGTAGTTCTACTGTAGTCTATTTGCTAATTTTCCTCAACAAAAACTAGGAACCAAGGGTTTTCCTGTATCCCAGCTACTAGTAGCTTCCTAGGTCCTAGGTCTACTTATGTCTACTTACTCCTCAGTCCCGGCCTACCACTCTTGCCTTCAGGCAAAAAAGACGTGGTTGTGTTCGATTTCGGGTCTTCGCTGGGGATGTCCTCATCTCATTTTCATCCCTAATGGCCGCATCGAGGTCAAGACCTTCTTCAGCATGCTGCATCAGCAATGCGGGGAGGAGGTGCCACAGCATGGTGAAGTTGTGATGTAGTGATCAATCTTGCATCAATTCCTGAGGACTCACAGCCCTTCAAATCGTAACAAAGTGTATTTTTCAAGTTTCAAGATCATTCCTTCCAATCCCAAATCATCCTTTGTTTTGTGGGTTCACTGTTTCCCCATCCTAAATCCATGGGAATCCATTGAATCGGTTTCCCCTGTTCTTTATAAAACACCTGTCGAGGTGTTTAGAGGGTGGGCTTTCCCAATAGAGTGGACATAACTTGGATCGATGCTACCCTAACAAACCCAGCATTTACTAGGTATCGGTATGAGCAATTGACCAGAGTTGGGCCCGTTTCATTCTGCGCGTGCGCGAGTGTTAAACATTGCTTCATGGCAGGGAGTGGATATCCGACGCTTGGCACATGCGTGCGTGAGGATGAAGGGGGTGGCCACTTGGCAGAACGGATAGGTTCGGGGGGAGTGCGGGTTTCGTTTGGATGGCCAGCGCTCAGAGGACTTGGAAGCTATCCATCCTCAACAAGGCTTGAAATTGACAGAGGGGGCAATTTGATTGAAGGATGGTTTGCTCATGAGGCTTGTTGATAGCTAATGCGAGATGGTGTGTGTGTGTATATATACATATATATATATATATTAGTTTTATAGATATATATATATATATATTACACATACAGACGCAATCTGTATACAGGTGGATCAATTCTGCAAAACTGCCGACTTGCCCATCAATGGCCAAAGAAACACTCAGTCACTGAGCCTTTGGTCCGCACAACTTTTGATCCTGACTGGCTGCGGGCAGCACATGTTCATCCCCCTGGCCGATCGGCGCGCAGTTACCAAGGCCACCAGCATCGACTTGCAGTCTTTGAGCTTCGAAACAAGGCCACTTGGGCAGATCTGCCTAAATGGGGAGGTCTCAAAAGTGCATCTAAGAATGTATTCTCCTTGGAAGCAGTGAGTCTCCTATTCTGAAACACACCACATGAACATCACTGAGGCTCATGCACCGAAAAGAGCTGCAGATGATGAGAAGGCGAGGCAGATAAGAAGCCACCACTATCTACAGGAGGCCTGTGTGTAGATTGATAGAAATGGCTCAAAGTCCACACTATATCGTGGCCATCAAACTAGCATATATACAGTAGCCATGACCTGACAAAAGAACATGATAATTCAACATCTCAAACGCTAGAAATATTCTTCTTTAGAGCACATGTCGTTTGCATTCCGTCTGAGTACTGCTCACCAACTTGTAACTTGTAGCTCCACTGCCGTGGAGGATGGGGGAGCAGCTGCGCCGCACAACAGAAGCACTTGAACGGCAGCTAAGTTCAAGGCGGATTTTCTGTGGCTTCAAAAAAGGGGGCAAGAAGGACAGAATAGCTCAAACTTCCGGCACAAATATATATTCATCATGAGATGGTTGGTCCAACTTTCCAGAAATGATTTCTTTCCAGAAATGATTTCACAAGCTGGTTTGGGAGAAGGAGAACCTCCTTCATATTCCCACTAAGCCAGTATACTTCTTGTGGCAAGTTTCTTGGCGTACTGCTAGATGTTTAGAAAAATACATCTAAACTGGAAACATATTTTCTGCTGGGACCTAAGTCAAACACCGTTGATCCAGGAGACATGACCAGGGGTGCCAGATCAGCAATGGCGGAGGTCACATGAAACTGCAATGAGTGTAATGTAGGTCCTCCAATTCCACCATGGAACTTGTCACAGCTGGTCCGACGTTTTACCTCTACCAAGGGTTTTGTACATGTCTTGTACCAATCTTGTACCATTTTCGACCAATTAATCCATGCTAGTTTCAGGTATTACTTTGACCAGTCCCCAGCCTTCTTTGGATAGTGCCAGTCTTCTCTTTGTGGTCCCTAATGACAGTCCCGTCCGCCAAGGATGGCCGGCCAAGTCCACGTCCTGTAAGCGCGCTGGGCGACCGGACGGCTTGTGGATTCGAGGGAAGATCAATTGGTTGGAAAGACTGTGGAACACTTTGGAATGTCCTGGACCACTTTGAGGCAAGTCTTTTGCACAAGCAAAAAGGGCTGGCGAGAGAATCATGTAACGAACCATGAAATTTTAAAGAGGTAGCTTCATTTTGGCGTGGGCCAGGGGCATGGTTTTTGTTTTTCTGTGAGGAATGGCATCTACCATAGTGATGCAAGCTACGTACACTTTGGTGGTGGTTCCAAAAGTCTCCAGCTGTTGGTCTTGTATTCCAATCAACGAGACCAAGTCGGTGCCTGGACAAATGGAGGTGTGCTTGAAGAATGGGTTGATGCATGTTGACAGCATGGTTGCCATTGGAGCTCATGATGCGATCAAAAAGCCATGCGAGCGCACCTCCCAAAGTGCCTAATGAAAAGATCTCAGACCAAAAGCCACGGTGTATTGCCCAGTTTGTTTTGCTCATGAGCCTGGTGCAAGTGCACCGTTTCCAGCTGCACCCACTCAGCCATGTGCTGACTGAAGGGGTCACGTGATGGGAGTGACAGTGGCCATCATGGGACAACGGAACGACACGAAGCCTCGAGGGTTATGAGAAGGTTTGGTATAATGATAACGGTATATTGTATATAAATATATATATATATATTTATCAATATATTTAGATATTAAATATATTCATTGCATATTATTCTGCATTCATTGAGCTGATATTATTGTTGAGTGGGTTCTTTCTTCAAAGGCCTATGATGTGGATCTCCTTGAGCTGTGGGTGCTCTTTTTTCGGCCTGAGCCCTCATCATTGCCTGCAAGGCGAAGCCTTGATTGTGGTGTGAGGGGTTTCTAGAGGCTTTGGAGCAAGGTAGAATCGGATTGGATAAGATGCAGCAAACTGGAATCAGCGCTGAGTGTCTGACATTGAGAAAAGCAGGTATCCATGCTTGACCATAGTTGTTCGAATGGCTCCTTGGCCGTGATTCTGACTGTGAGCACACCCTGAGTGTGGTGCTTCAGTTCAAAAAAGTGAGTGCAGAAGCAACACCCCTGGGCCTTTCCGACCACTCGTGTGTCGGGGATCTCCTGTAACCTTTGCACTCTGGGCGCCGAGAAAGTCTTCCCCTTTTCTTTTTTTCGTTTATATTGCTTGGAAACTCTTGGAACAACCATTCCCGTTACTCCATGCCCCCACCCTCCGCCCTTCCGTTGGCAGCCAAGTAGCATTTGCGCCCTTTGTGTGGAAGTGGCGCGTCTGAGCGTAGAAACCAGCCATGGCAGGCGCAGCAGACGCTTGGCCTTCTTGTTTGCCGCTAAGTATTTGCTGTTGCTGTTGAATGAAGAATAATGTTCTGGGGATCTCCATTTTACATAGTTCTCCAGTATTCTTCCTTGAGCCACACTCATGATGTCAAATGTCTCAGGGGCACTCCATTTTTCAATGAATCAAAGTTCCAGCTGGTTGTTTCAAACCCCAGGCACAGCGTGGGCTTTCCACCGTTGAGGGTCTGCTGCCTGCGCATTTGAGGAGCTGCTCTATGGTTGCCACAGCGCTTTGGAGCTTTTCTTTGGATCTTTAATGGTTCTGCGCGGGCGAGGCTCCATGGACCCTGTCGAGGCCGGCGCCACGTTGGGTGAGGGGGTAATCCTGGATGACAGATCTGATAGAATGACAGAGGTAAAGTGGTAAGGTCTTTTCAGAGAGAACAAAGGACATCGGCAGGAATCACGAGAGGAGCAAAGACGCTAGTAGGGGCTCCTGGCATCGTTACTAGGAGCATTCTTGCTGCTAGTAACAAGAAGCTACGAACGGGGCTCCTAGCCATACTACTAGGAGCGATCGCACGCTACTAGGCACTGTCGTATTTCCAGTAAATGCCTTGTAAGCAGGAAGGTGATGTGACCCTGATGTGACCCGGTCGTATTTCCAGTCGCCTGATGTGACCAACGTTGATGACAGTATTTACTAAGCATGCCCTGCATACTTAAGCTTTCTTGGGTGAAGCACCAATTCAGGGGATTGATTTCATTCTTGGAGGGGCACAGGAACCATCTCGAGCCGCTTGAGCTAGTGTAACTGTTGCGACTTGTGGCAACAGGGGAGCACTGCACGTGCCCGGCTCTACCGGCGCTGGCACGGTTGTGGCTTGGTGGCCTTGAGCAGCCTGGGGATTTTGATCTTGCTGAAGGCTGGGGAGCTGTGCCACTGTGCTGCCAGGATCGAACCGACTGTGCTGCAGTTGGAGCATCACCCTGTGTCTTCGATGTTCATACATGACTTCAGAAGAATGTGTAGATATACAGTATTTGCATGTATATACAAAGATGGTAACCCCCTGGTACCCATGGTTTTGGGACATGAAGCACTTTGCATATCTACCAAGGGATAAGGTACCATACATGTATGCATATCGCGAAGTAGGTTCAACAACTGCAAATGTTGGGAGCATGCCTCTGTGTCAAATCAATGACCATGAGCATGAACATATCACATGATCACAAATCAAACCTGACAAAATCCTTTAAGGGAACAAGGGAACCAACAATGCAATCAAGGGACCACAGCCACTTGGGAAGAGGGGAGCAAAACACAACAAAAAAACACAGTTTTCGGACCTATGTGCTGGTCATTGGTCCCGGTCATTGGTTCGAGCCAAGATTCTGTCTTGCGAAGAACACCCTCAGGACGGCAAAATTGAGGGTTCTCCCGTTTTGACATTGCATCATGAAATGAAGCCGATTAATCATGACTAGCTCTCACCTGGGGAGTGTGGCATCCATTGCTTTTCACAATTAGAACTGCATTAGCTGGCGAGTTGGTTATGGCCTGTAAGCCTTTAGTCAATTTTCCAAAAGAGGTGATGTGAACATAGGGAACATAGAAGAAGGCTTATTGAAGCAGATCGTTGGTTGATTGGGGCCTGCAGCATCCTGCAATCCTGGCAGGGAAAAGTGCACGAAGAAGCCACGCTTCTGGGCAGAGGATGAGCTTGTGAAACGAAGGCTTACGTAACCACATGAAGAAGAGCGGTCGTTTGCCAGCACAACCCTCAACTCTCAACGAAGTCCAGAGCATAAGCAGCCCAGTACTATTCCGGCAGGCAAAGTGATTTGATTTGCGAGCCTAGTGACATGATGGGTCAATCAGTGAATGATTAACCCTAAAATCTCTCACCTGTGCTTGCACCCGTCCTCCCAAATGGGTTGAGTCAAACTTCTGCAACCACATGTTCAACCGATCCTGGGTGAGCTGACTCCCGGGCTCCCTCAACTGGCCGGCTGGTCCAGATAAGCCGAGAATGGCCGATAATAGTAGTGAATCACGACTTGGTGATACGATCTGATACGGATTCATACGCTTGAGATACTACACACTCCAAGGTCACCTCTCTAGTTATGAACATGCCACCCCCCCGAATGTTCTTCAGGTGGGCCAAGTCCAATACCTCCATATGTCATATGTCTTTCTCAGCTCTCTGACCAACAAATACGATTGGCACTACTCAGGTCCTGCATTTCTGCCGCCCTCACCATCTTTCACGGCGGATGCGTGGCCGTCCACGCTTTGGCGGCCACCGAAAGCGCTGCAGCGCCCAAATCCCTGGGGGGCGTGGCCTGGAAGGACGGGAGCGATCCGAAAAGGGGACGTGCTAAGAACGAAAAGGTGAAGATGAGGTAAGGGGTGTAGTCTCACTTATGTCTTGAAAGGGAGCCTTCTGAACGCAGATCATCGACCATATTCATTGCGATCGATGGTGTTTGATGCTGCTTTTTGATGGTTTGTTTCTTGAAGTTCGTCTATCTGACGGGGATTCAAATCGAGCAATGCGCGGTGAATTTGAGGATGTATCGAGCGCTTGGTGGAGACCGTTAAGTTGATGAGAAATTCAGACGTTCATTGAGATGTTGCGTAACATATCGGCTTTGCATCATTAAAGTGTGGGGCCTGCCAAAGTTTAGCCTATTTGGACATGAATCGATTGATGGACCAATGAAAACACCTCTGTGACCCAGTCTCCTGTTCTCATGCAGGAAGCCGCGCTCTCCCCGCATATTCCTTTGACCATTGGCTTTGCTGCTCACGCGGCAGGGATGTTGCCTTGAGATAGCAGCAGTTAAGCAGGGTGGGCCGCGCAAGGGTTCCACAATCAGAAAAACCAAACCATCTCTTTTACATGGTTTTGAGCCCTGGCTTGTTGGGGTCCCATCTTGGTGTATGAGTTTCTGCAGAACATGCTGCAGCAGATCTCGGCCGAAAGGCTTCGGGACCGATCTTGCCCTACAGAAGGATCACTTCCACCTACGGAAGGATCGCTTGGTCCAAAGAGACCAACAAGAATCTGGGTGGGGCTGTCGCCTCACTGTCGCCTCACGATAGAATCGTTTTCCTTCACCAAAAAGCATCTGTCACAGCGCTTGGGAATGGAGGCATCCTGGAAGTCCTGGTGACTGTATCTACGAAAAGTCCTTGGGCATCTTGGGCAACCCAGTGTACCCTTTGAAGGGTGTCATAGGGTACCCTAGGAAACGCCAGTGTGCTTTTGTGATGTCCTTTTCTACGAACCAAGGATTTACAGGCGGTCAATAAACACTGTCATAACTTACAGGAAGTGACTCCTGGATATCAACAGATCACATCCCACGACTGCAGGGACTGGATGGTTTGCGTGAGTGGAACTCTAGGGACGCTCCATTGATGCAGCCATGCTGCTGAAGATCTCTGGCTCGAAGCCTTGAGTTCGACAATAGACACCCCATGATTACACACCCTGTTCCTGCCGTTGCAGTCACGTTCATGCAGATTCATTAAGTCATGGCAGTGCCTTCCACTCTTTGACAGGACTCTATGGCTCTTAAACCGTGTTGCTATGTGATGCCCCCATCGCGCGTTCGACTATGCGCAAACCGTGCAAATCCCCCACATGTGAGGGATCACCCAGAGGAAAGCAAAAGACTGACGGACCAAAATGAGATCCCCCTGCCTGCGAAAGCAGCTTTTCCCAGAAGCACAGCGACAGCTGCTGTTGCTTTCCGGAAATTCAAAGCTGACTGATCCAAGCTGCAAAACTCAACCTCTGTTTCTAAAGAGGACACCAGGTGCTACCCTGTGTGTTGTCCTTTCTATTCAAGGGAGTCAACATTTCACAACTTAGCGTTGAATCGTCTCGACGGCTCTCACACCACCGAACCAATACGGGCTGGCCCTGCCGCAGGCCAGGGGGGTTCTCGTGACGTTCACGAACGGGTCTTTGAACAGGTTTCGCTCGGCGAGCCACAGGGTCGAAGAGCTTGGGTGACTGGGTGGATTGAACATATTCTTTTTTTGCTGGGTTCAAGGGAACTTGAATGCGCTCACCATGGGACAAAAGGTAGAATAGAAGAGAAGCAGGGCATACAAAGTTGACACATTTTGAAAGGCATTCAGATTCGCTTTTCTATGGATTTGTGGGAGTGGGGGCCCACAACTTACAACATGTGTAGCAATGTTAATAAGTGGCTGCTGGCTGGGTTCCTCTTTTCACCCCTTTTCCTGCAGCCTTGCCGGTCGCCACATCCGCAGCTTCGCAGCAGCTTCGCCTGTGGAGGTCCGCTATGGAGATTGGTGCAGAGTTCCAGGTGTGGTGGGGAGGAGGTCAGAAGCAGGTGGTGCGTGAAGACACCACGGTGGGGTACTGTTGTTTGCTCTTCTGGATTTGGTACCCTTGTGGTTATTCAAGTCTCTTAGCTGTTTTCACGTGTGATCCTCGACATCCCGCCGCAATCTGGATACTGGGCGTCAACAGACCTCAACTGACCTTGGCCAGAAAGCTCTGTCTCGACAATAAGGGCAACATATGGCAACATCTATTACTACTGTATCATTATATTGGTATGGTTCTCCTGGTGAAGGAAGCACTCCTGCACCAGGAGGGATCTCCCACAGCCACCAGGGGTTTCATTTCAGCTGGAAAAACTAGGGCGTAGGACCTCCAAATACTTCCAAGTAGAATGAATAGATCTTGACGGTCGTTGCAGCTCATGTCAATGTGTTGCGCTACTTGGCATGTCGCTTCCAGTCAACGACTCAGGATGGCCAGGAAGGGACCGAGCCTACGGGGCGTAGACTCCCAGAGGCCGCAGGACACCGACCGATCCATCTCTGAAGCAATTGTTGAAAAGGGGGATTGGGGAGAGGCAAGGCTAGGAAACCTGTTTTTTTTTGACACATGCGGTTCTTTTTTGACAGAATCTTGATGTCTTCAGCATCTTAATTTCTCCTTGTTTTTCAAAAACACATATTGCTGGTGTTGTGATTGGATTCCTTCCTTCTCCCCTGGTCTCACAAAATGGCACGGTGTCATTAAATTTATCCAGAGATGAATGAAACATGAGATCAGTTTGACTTCGAACAGTTGGCCATGGGGATGCGAACGCCATGGAACTCAACAAACGGATGAACCTTTGTGAATGTCCAAAACGACAGTCGGCAAGGTCTCTGGCCCCAAGCTGCAAGGGAACTGTAACAGATCTATTTAACTTATTTTAACTTCCTGAGACTCTCAAGATACTTTTGGGTTGTCTACGTCACATGGCAGTTTAGGAGTGTTCCGGAGGGTTGATTCTTGCATAAACAGACATGAACACCTATGGGATGTGGGTGTGGAACGTGGTTTCCCGTATCACATGTCATCGCAGATGTCATCATGTGTTGCCGATAGACTCTATCCAATAGACGCAATTCCAGACCTGGACCGCACCGTGGTCCGCATGGAATCCCAGGGTGGGCAATCCAACCTTTGTGGAAGTCCCAGTCGCTGGAGCAAATCATCAATATGGGGTCTGATGGACTAGCTGCTTTTTTTTGAGCTCCCGGTTCACAACAAGAGGGAAAGCAGATTAGATTGGAAAGTCATCAAGGTGAACGGAGGGTTTGACCACCCTTTGCAGCTTTTCTCTTTTTTCTTGGCCTGGCTGCCAGGGCGAGGCTTTTCTTGACAGAAAAACATGTGAAAGAACTGTTGAATCGGTTTTGTGTAACATCATCCATTCAGCTTGCTCTTTAATTGACTGTCAGCCCTAAGCTGCCCAGGATCACGCTCACAACGCACACCACTGGACCTTGGCGCAGAGGTGCGGGCGGCCCTCTAAGGTGTGTGAGTGAAGCCATGCAATGAGGGCGTAGGTAGTTGGTTGATGACCCCTGATAAGTGGTTTTGGTATGTTTTGGTACTTTGGTGGTGTATTTACTGTACATTTAGTTATTACACAGGCGATTCGTTGTTTGTAGTCACGACTCTAGAAGGCTGACTAAGGGACGATGAAGACAAGGTCAGGGTAACATGTGTTTGGGGTAGTTAGTAGTTGGGTTTGTTAAACAAAGGGACCCCACCTGCAACTTCAGATGAATTCTTTTTTTCTATGGGAGTACGCAAAATGAGATGATGGGAGTCCTGCATTTCATTTGCAGACCCAACAAGACGACCGCGCTTTGTTCTGAATGAGTCAGTTCAGCTCTTGCCACAGGCTGGAGCCTCTTGCAAACAGACCACAGCAGAATTTACAGGGCTTAACGACTCTACACTGTGCTGCTGACAAGGGACACCTGTAAGTTGTGGGCTTATTGTTGCGGGCTGGAGCCTTTCCAGATCCAATGACTGAAGACGATGGTTTGACCCCTTTGCACTCTGCAGCCAGAGCTGCATCAAGCGACAACTGACTGCTGCATCAAGCTCCATCGGACTGGTGGCTCCAGGCTGTTCGGCTTGGAGCATCGGACGTGCTGAAAGCTACAGGGATCACATGGGATCACTGAAAGCACTGGGCTCAAGACGGCCACCGCGAAGTGCTCCGTAAGTTGTGTCCCATCGTGACCGCTGAGTGGGTCCAATCGTGGGAAGATGCAGGAAAGCATTTCTCTAGATGAGGGACGCCTGCTTTGAGATAGTTTGTGCTGTGTGGGTATGTTGAAGAACAAACTTGTAAATCTCTGCACTTTCCTTGTAAAGCTCGGTGTAGGGTGAGTTCTTGCCAGTGTTGGATCCAGCAGACTCCTCTACTTGTTCCATTGGGGCTCCACCGCCTCCCCCTGAGAAAAGCAGCACATCATGGGATGGCTCTACAGCCTCCAAGTGACGACTCGTCTCCTTCGAGCCAGGTGCGAAGCTCCGCGCGGGAGCTGCAGGACGTTGAACGAACATCGCGTGGTGCGGGCTTGGGTGCCATGTAGCACCATCTATATACTCAGGTTGGTACAGTAGGTGTTAGAGACGAAAGCCCTTGCAGCTTCGAAAGAGAATGAGAAAAACCTATAGAATCTTGGAGTGGTGCAATAAAGCTTGCTTAAACACTTTTTCGTTTAGCCTCGAGTGTCTCTCACTAGTTACTGAAGGAGGCCAACTGACCAAAACATATGGAGTAGCTCCACTACTGCTACTTTCACCCAACCCATCAAGTGCCATGAAACATCCACGCTCTTCTAGGACCGGCTTGGTGGCAGTTGCTCAGCTGCAGGTGGATTTGTTGATAAGGCAGCCCCCAAGTGTTCAGGTTGATGACTCCCATTTCAATTTTGTTATGTTGTACGGTGTAATTCCCAGCATTCCCTTGGGGCTAGGTGATCAGGGGGTCAAGGGTGTTGGTTGGATTGAGTATGGACCGTGGTTGACCTGGACCTTGCTTGCCAAGGTCAAGCCTTCTGGAAGACGTGCACACACAGCATTCCAACATGTTTTGGCAGCTAACGTGGGCAGTATGAAGCCTTTGGCCAACTGTTTGACCCTTGTTGATCCAAGAAATTAAAGACTCAATAATGGCTATATATTCAATATAATCTAGTTGTAAGGGCAAATGGTCCAAAGCGAGGGAGATGGCACCTTTGTTGATTTTTGCTTCTGACCCCAGGCACTCTCCTCCCGCCTGGGTCAGTGCCGCGAATGACGTTTTTGAGTTGCAAGCGATGTGAAACAAAACAGCCTCTGGCAGGTCAAAAGAACAAGTGATGGCAGTCGACATCCAATGACTCCAACCCGGATCTGATTGCGGTTTAATGTGTAAACCCAAACCTATCATGTACTTCTCACTGAGACCCAATGAACATCAATGAACCAACCACTGGATTCACCACCAATGCATCCCAGTCAGCGATCCGTCCCCAGGTGGGCGATCGCTGGGATGGCTGGAGGATGAGGCGACGTCCCAAGCATCGGACGGGGCCGGCTCCGCCCCGTTCGAGTCGTTGGACCCGATGTTTGAGTCGTACCGTGGGTGAATGCAACCCATTTGGTGCCAAAGCACGCATGGCAGCTGAATGTTAGGGAGCTTGCTGGGCTGGTCGATGTTCGATTTCCTGGCATGCGCGGGTCCTTTCTCTCTTTCTTGGAGGGTGTCTCTGGAGGTTGCATTTTAAACATCCTGCACGCATTCAGTTCCATGTCCATCCATTTCCTGCCAAAACCTGGTCTGCTTTTAAAGAAGTTGATAAGTTGATTTCCAAAAAAATATTGCATAGGTGCTGACAGACAGGCAAAGCCTCGTTACTCCAATCCAGTCCAGTCCAGTCCACTCCACCACACTCCACCATTCCCAATTCAATTGGGTCACATCTCTCAAATATCTTTTCAAAGACCCCACCAGTCAGGACCTTATAATAATAACAATCACTTTGGAGCTTGGACTCCACCCCACTCCATTCCACTCCATCCACTTCAACCGCAGGTGACAACCTCTGGAGGTACCCACAGAGCCACTGATCCGGAAAAAAAAAATATTTGGTGCTTTTAAGGAAAGCTGTGATCTACCAGGTTGCGACGGTCGCAGTCTGGTAGAACCATCGCTAGCGGTAGTGAGACGCACAGCGGGGTCATGATTTCACTGGACCTGGTTCAAAAGACTGTCCTTCGCAACAAGTGACTGCGACCGTCGCTACTTTGAGGGTGCTCCAGCGAAATCAAAATCCCACTAGAGCAATCGCTAGCGGAAGTGATGGTTGTACAGGCTTGCGACGCTCGCCACTTGGTAGATCACAGTTTTCCTTAAACACATCAAATATTTTTCTGATTGCCGGGCCCAAGTGATGCTGTACGTCGTGACTACTTGATATTTATCTGTTTCCAACAGCCACAGACCATCCAAGATGGTGTTCACCTCAGGGTTCCAGCTATTAAATCTGACTCTTTGCAAATGAGGCCATTGCTATTAGGATCGAGGCTTCTGAATAACAACTTAAAACTTATCAACTTCAACCTTATTAGTGGTGAAGTGGAGTAACGAGGGTTTGCCTGTCTGTCAGCAAAGTCAGCACCTATGCAATATTTTTTGGAAATCAACTTATCAACTTCTTTAAAAGCAGACCAGAAACACATTGGATCTTTAGACTCCTTTTGACCTCCAGACCACAAACCCATGCTGAGTCGAGTCTGCTTCTCTCCCAGGCGCCAGCGCGATGGAGCCGATCCTTCATCTCACCCAAGGCCGAAAGAAAAATGTCCAGATGTCCAGATGTGAGTTTGGTTTCGACTCTGGAGTTCCCTCAAAGTCCACTTGCCACTGGTTGCCACTGGGGCTAGGGTTGGACACGCCATGCGAAAGTCACATATTCGACAGTGTCCAGATCATGAGCCCGGGTCTGATTCTGGTTGGGCTTTTGCACTTCCAAAGCGATCCCTGTACAATGCAGGTGAAGGACACTTGCTTTTGCTCCCACCCTAAAAAAGCAGTTCCGCGGATAATCAGGTTTTCGTTCAGGTAGCAGAAATGATTTGTAGTGTGGAGAATCATTCAAACTCCAATCAAGATATGGGAGGCCCAGGTCGACCAAGACTCTTTGAATGCACTTGTATGATACTTTCTTGGAGGGTTGCAAACGCAGTTAAACACATACACTTCGAGGGAAACTGCGCGAAAGACCATGGGCGGGTGCTAGCTAGCGTCCCTCTATAACCAGATGCCCTCGTGTGCGTGTCCAAGGCCGCCTCAGAGCATTTGCCGAGGCGAACACGGATGGACATCAAGCGAGCATGGACAGGATGGCCTCACAGTCATGAAGCCCAAACATCACCGGTTGGATGGTTTGAAACGTGTGAACATCAATCAAGTCACAGCTTCAAACTCCATCAATCTATCGCAGGCGTTGGGGACTTCGGGATTGGAGTGTCACGCCCGTATCGCAGGCGTTCTCAGAATCAACGGGTAGATCCACCTTTGCTTGGGTTTTGCTTCTCACTCACTGAGAGGCCCGGGCCGTTGGCCCGTGCAAGCAGCTTTTACGGGTCACCCACAAAGTCAACATCCATGCGGAGTTTAATACCGCTTGACAAACCTCTGGTCAATTCCTTCAGAATGAACTGACGAGGTGTGCCCACATGACCCGCTCCACCTTTGTTGTGTCCCCACCCCTGCAGCTGATGGCTGCTGGAGGGGGATGCAAGTTGAGATGTACAGAGGTGGAGATGTGCAGAAGTGTTCCTTTTCATGCCAGGACATGTCACACATGCAGAGCTGATGTAAAGTACCGTGATGGACCACATGTTGCACAGCACCATACTGCTCATTGTAGAGATTTGTAGACATTGTACACATTGTCGACACTATATTAATCAATATATAGTGTTTTATTTTTTCAGGTGTTTTTTTTCAAGGCGTGACAAGGGAGCCTTGCTCCAAAGCCATGAGACTCGTGAGACATGATTACCTTTTGGGGTTTAGTCTTCATCTACGGGATGATCACCTTAGAGCCGGGCGATGTGCCTTGCTACATGCTCTTGGAACAGGTGCAGGCCAGGTGCTGGGCTGGTGGGCAAATGCAGTCAATCGGGCCTGGGGGCGCCTGACTAAACGGTGGAAACTTGCTTTTTCAAGATCTTTGCGGGAAGGATTCCAAACCGGAGAGATCCTTACATGCGCCATTCCCTGATCAGTGTCCATTGGTGGGAAGCAGATCCCGTCCACCATCATGAGACACACACCCCACCTGTGTGTTGACGTCCCTATCCCCACACACTCGCTTTGCACCCACACAGCTAAGCTATACAGCAAGGGGCATGTTTGAAGCGTTTGCGGAGCGCTGTACGTTTCGCAAGTCGTCAGACACCGTCGCCAGGTGCCCCGGGTCATCGGGAAAGCCGGCGCCATCATCAAGGAGCTGCGTCAGGAGCTGCGTTCATGGTGAAAGAGTGGGTTAATGTAAAGAGGTTTAAACTTAAACTTTCAACGGGTCAGACTCGGTGCCAGGGCTGCATTCTTTGCTTTCGGACCGGTTTGGACGACCTAACATCATCCAAAAACATGGTTTGCTGGTGGATGGAACAGACCCACATAGTGGAGGAGTTCGTGAGCAAAACTTGCACCACTTGTCCCTTTGGTCGTGGTATCTCTTGATGTAATTTGGTATGCAGTTGGTTTGGGTGGACACCTTGCTGATTTTGTTGTTTGCTCTAACCATGGAGTGCTTCTGCACTTCGCCCTACTGACCACAAAATCTGGCCGGCAAGCAGGAGATTTGTTTTGCCAGAGTCCTTGAATTAATTCCATGGCCACATTCAAAGGATGGATCATGCTCAAGGACAAGGCACTGATTAGGTAATAAACACTGAATCGGATGACTTCCATCATTCCAGGTTGCGCGGGATTTGGTCTATCAACTGGATGAGTGCAGGCAGACGATTCCCCAGGGTTGTCGGGCCAGGAGAGCGGCGCTGTGGTGCAGATCTTTGACAAACAACTCCCAGAGGACTGGAATTGGTTTGGACAGCAAGGAAACACAAAGAAACCAGTGATTTGGAGGGATTTGTGGTGTTTGCGTGTGTTTGCAATTCCACCAGCAATTTACAATCACCAATAGTTCCTCCACCACAACACCAGCAACACCTTCCCCCTCCAACCAAGCCTCTCCACCAAGTATTTTATATAGATTCGATATGATTCGATCACGAGACAAAGACGAGCAACTTTTTTCACCTCTTTCAAACCGCGGAGAAAGCTCCAAGCTCTCCGAAAAACAATCCTTTCTCTTCATGTGAACCTTTTTGTTGAGTTAAAGCGAAGTCACAGGCCTCAGTCCATCCGATTTGGCTTGGTCCAACTCGTCCAACCTGCTGGAGGCGCTGCAGCGGCTTCAAAGCCAAGTCGCCTTCGCCAAGGCCTCGTCCACTGCAGCGCTGCGCAGCGCCGTGGAGGGCCTCGTGCGGAATGCCGTGGGGCCGAGCGCGCTGAAGAGCTTGGGCGCCGAGGGGCAGGACGTGGCGCCCCTTGGAATGCTGTGATTCGGGCGGATTCTAAGTGGGTGGATGCTCCAAAAAGCGGAGAGCTTCAGAAATGAATCGAAGGACGGCATGGTGACATGATTTTTGTTCAGTTTTCTATTTTTGGCCACCCTGAGCTTGTCAGGGTGCCCTAGTTTCTGGACATTTCCATGTGGAGGAACTGATTGATTGGAATTTCGTAATTTCGGTCTTATTTGGAGGGCCGTAAGTCTAAACTAAACAGGAGAGTTTGAAGTTTAAGCTGTTTGAGGCTGCCAATTCAGTTGTTGGAAGGTTTGCCGTTTGCCGTGTGGGGTTTGCTTTTGTGCAAGGACAAGGACTAGTTTGCAAGTCTAAGTTTTGTTGGCCAGCATGACCCTGTTGTGTTAGTGTATTCTGATTGTGTGGTCTCTGGGCTGTTGCACGCTTCCACTTGTTAAACCATCTGACTTGAGAAGTTGAATCGAATGAAATCTGAAAAAGTTATATATATATATATTATATGAGAACATGTTCGGTTGCTTGCACCCATGATTCCATGCATCATAATGGTCACAACGATGACCTGGCGGCTGGTGGTCCTGCAGACGCTACAGTACAGGTCACTCTTGATTTGGGACAGACTCTTAGGGGTCCCCTGCTTTCATGCTTGACAATTTGGAGCAGTCACTGACTTGTTGTATGTGGCGCGGTTTGCGTCAAGCATTCCGTGACCTGTTGAGACGTTCACTTTCACCATCCCACCCCTTTGCAGAGCAAAAGGCTCCGCTGGTGAACCGATTGGCTCCGCTCGTCGTCGCACCGACTCCTTGAACCGGCGGAGCGAGGTTTTTGGTGCCAGCGAAGTGCGAGAGCTACCTGGGCGACGAGCAGCTGCTCTCGGAGCTGGGGAAACCGGAGGGCGTTTCTGGACGAAATTCGAGACGTGTTGGTGGCGATCTTCAGTGCGTCGCACCAGAAAGTCAATCCTTCAATCCAATTCAATCCACGGTCTGCCAACTTCAGAATAATTGTATACAAGTGATATGCCGGTGTTTCTAGCTCATTTTGCTAGATTCCAGGAAGGACTCTTTGACTTAAGTAGAGGCTGTTTGAGGCTTACTTTAGGTATTAGTGTACGTAAGCTTGTCTAATCCGGTCCTCTTAAGGATTGTTAAAGCGAAGAAATCTGGCTCTCAGGCCGGATGTAAGGCCTTTGATATTCAACCCAGTCCAACACGCGGCCAGATCCTCGTACGTACTGTATATAGTTTGATGCAATGTCGCAGCTTTCAGCCAGTAGAACATGGTGCTGCAGATTGGCAAGTCTGTGTTGACTGAACTTCAGGGGCAATCTGCTAGCTGCTGGCTGACCTCCTTTGGTGGAGAGTGCGCTGTTTTACAAGTGCGCATGGCAAGTGCCATTCGTAGGCACTTTCTCGTGCAAGATGTGCACCAACCTTTGCAAGTTGCATTGAAGCCCAACATGTCCAACTGGTCCAACTGGTAATTACATGACTTGTATTGTCATCATCACAAGGTCATACAGTAGCTGTTTTGCTTCCAAGGGGCCTTCTTCTCTTCGGAAACATAGGACAGGAAACACTGCAAGTTTCTGATGTCCAAAAACAGCGATCTGATCTCCCTCGATCTTCCGAGCCTTTCGCACAGCGACTTCCGAACCCTCCGGGCCCTCCGCGGAGGAGACCAAGTGTCACATGGACGTGGAAGCGTTGGACGGTTTGCGGAAGCAGCGCCGGGTGACGCTGAGGGCGGAGGAGACCAAGGATTTGCAGTTGGTGGCCTGGCGGCTGCAGGAGACAGCCACCCGTGGCCCTGGGTGCAAACATGATCCACGGGTGCAGTTCTTGAGCCCCACCAGAACAGAGAAGAAGCGAATTAAAAAGGACAATTCAGCAAATTAAGATTGGTATTATCAAAAAGTGTAGCAGGATACAAATACACTAGGTATAGGATGCCCATCAACCCAAATCGCCATTTGTGAGAGGTCTTGGGCTGGTCGCCTGGAAATGGGAAAACCGCACTCACAGAAGTGGGAAAAAAGCAAAACAACAACAACAACAACAACAACATACTAAAACAACACTATGTTTCACATGTCTGGCACTCCCCACCCCACACCCCAGACTTCTGAACACGTATAATATTGTTTTTGTATTATTTTTCTTTATGGTTGTTTGTTGGCATGTTTGGCATATGGTCCATCCCGTGTGGACAAAATGTTGACCACCGCATTCTTTTTTCGACCCCGCACTCGCAAGGAGCCTAAACAACACAGAATCTAACATGAGCTAGCTAGGGTAATCCACACCCACCAGGATTCTATTCCAAAAGTGATGTTTTTGTTGCCGGAGCCATTGATCAACCCATAGACTCCATAGGAACAGGACTCCGCCACGATTGAACGGAGGAGCTCCTATTGCGCATGAGCCATGCTGCCATTCTGAGCGATCGGGACTTTGACCTGCAGGACGTGTTGAAGGTGGTGAGGTCATTGGGATTCATAAAATTGGCACAAATCCCTTGGGCTGCGGGGGAAAGACTTGACAGTCTTGAAACTTCAAGAACAACAGCTGTTGATTTGGTAATGTATATATAGTTTGAGCACAGGGCACTACTGTTGAAGAGCAAACCCCCACTATTGGAAGGAAATCGAACTATCCGACTATCCAGTGGCCCACTGACCTTTCTGACTTCAGAGGGATTGCAGGATTCCTACCAGATGACTATCCACAGAGAGCTGGGCCCGATGGAAGTGCATACTTACTCCACAATGTGCTAGGTTAGTTTATTTATGTTAGATTATACCGTTACAAACAGTTCATCAACATACTTATATATGTAAGGTGGACTGAACTTCGCAAATATCCGTTGAGTAGAGGTCCCCAAGTAGAAACGGTTTCCAACATACATATCTAAATTTGAAGCAATTCACCATTCAATTCGACTTTCAGGGCACCGAAAGTGGCAGATCAATTAGAGGTTTGCCTTCGCACAGGACACCGCTTGGGAGGAGGTCATGGAGGCTGCGTTGACGGTATAGGGGTCATTCTGGGCACCACAAAAGCAGAAACAGATCCCCGACAGACTGCCCCTAAGCCTACACAGACCACCAAATGTCATGCACCAATCGACCGGACGAAAAAAGGGGCTGTCCAACATGAATCCAATAGTAGCAAATAGCTTACGTATTATTGTAGTAGCTAGAAGCTAGTAGGTTGGAGGCCATTACTAGTAGCAAATAGCTACTAAACCGCGTCTTCGCCGAGTCCGGTGACCTCCCCGACGTTCCAGGCCTTCCGGTCCAAGCGATCCGGCTCCGAGGCCGGTCAATCGGTTAGGGGGAAGAGGGTGCCGGTGACATGGAAAGAAGATTGAAATAGATCCACAGATTGGAAGATATTGAAAGTACATTGGAAGTACATAGTTTCAGTTTTTAGTCTGAAGTTTGTTTTTTGCACACATGTGGTCATGTTTTCCATGTGTGTTCTTTGTAGGCACCGGCGCACAGGCGCACCGCAAGAATATGCAAGACTGCAAGAACTGATCACGCAATGCTCTTGAACATTCTTGAACCATACTTTTGATCCCTTTAGTAGCAAGGACGCTGCTAGGGGCTCCTGGCCTTACTACTAGGAACAAGAAGCTGCTAGGGGCTCCTGGCATCGCTACTAGGAGCGATCGGACGCTACGAACGGGGCTCCTGGCCCACCGTGACTTCATGTGGATCGCACCAGGTGGAGCCATCCCCTCCGGTACCATTGCAAAGGCCGGGGGACCTCGGACAAGATGTCCTTACTTTGGGTCTAAGATTCTATTGCGCCAGTCTGGGTGAAGAGCAGATGAGAAGACTCAGACGCAGTGAGCAGGTTGCCCACCTTGAACTCCACCGGCTCCGAGATCGAGCTGGAGGCATGACAAACAGCCGGGGGGGGGGCACAGGTGGATGGATGGTCCTTATCCGAGCTATGACGATCTCCCCAGAAGGTTAGTAAGCCAACCTCAGAGAATGAAACCGACTTGACTAGGAGTCCTCAATTGGACTTGCTGTAATTCTCTCAGGCGCGGCTCGTAAGAATAGGGAACTTTGCACTTCACCATGCGACATATGTTTTTCAGGGGACCAATCTTGATTCATTGATCAGCACAACTCCTGTGGATCTTGACAACTAATTATATATATAACGCATTCTATGTGATTCCGTTTGACTCACCGACATTCTGTGACAAGTTGGGAAGATGTGGACGAAGACGAAGCTCGGGATGGACAAGCGACGGTCTCAGCTTCCAAGGCGCGAAAAGCGCGCGAAGTGGAGCAGCGAGATTTGGAGGCCCACAGGGAGCGGGTGGGCCCGGCACTGGCCTCAAGCAGACCGAACACTTTGCACGGGAGGCCTAGGACCACAGGGCGTCCAAAAGCAAAAGCTGTTTTGAGACTTTGGACAGATGTGCCATGGGCGATGGGGTTGTTTGAAGGGATATACTTAGAAAAGTTATGAAAAGTTACAGCTAGAGGCGGCCACACGGCATTGTCTACTCAAAAATGCTTAACTTCTCTCATTTTTCTTCTCTTCACCACATCATTTAGCTTTCTGAAAGTCAGAGGCTTGTTCTTCCGCCTACACTTAGTAGAATGAATCTGCTGCATCAGAGTTCTGTTGACCATTTCCGCGCCGCCACGCCACCGCTGGGAACCTGTTGGCTCACCGCTGGTTCGGCCACGGCAGAGGTGCAGAAGGAAAAAGAGCGGAAGAAGCAGTTGCGCGCCTGGCACCCCAGAGCCCTGTGCATGGTGTGCGGAAGCTTCAGTGTGTCAGCGGCCGACAATTGGTCCAGGTGCTTTTGTTGGAGTGAAGAGATTCTGAACGCAAAGGGGCGCTGCATAAATCAGATTGATGAAAGGTGATCCAGTTGGTGTCAGGCATTCAGTTTTGCCATGAGATGAGGAGATCGAAGTAGGCATGCTGTGCTTGTTTCCGTTAGAGCAAAATGAGATCAAATCATTCATTGAGGACCAGGGACCAGCTCTGGATGGTCTGCCGGTATACAATTCGCTATCATAATCAGTTGAAGAGTTTGTTCTTGCAACAATTGTTTTTATAGCAAAGATGTGCTGTAGAAGGTAGGGCAGGGCAAGTTGTCTGGTTTGCAAGACTACTGCAAGTTTGGCAAGGCGGTGATTCCCAGGCAAACTGGCCGTTGGGCCCTTTGACATTAAAAAGCTAGAGATGGAGCATGGCCAGAGCTGCAAAGCTAATCACTTGAATGCACACCACTCTCACACATCTTGGGTAAGACGGTAAACAACTAGAGAACACCGAGCGTGAAAACGATGGTCATAGCATCAGGTGTGCTGGTTTTTGTGATTCAAACAGGTGGACCGAAGGAGAGCAACGAGGTTCCTCTTTTTATGTTTGCAATGCATAAGAAAAGCATGACACGGAAGTAGGATCAAGCGGGGCCCTAACTCAGGCTTACACTATCTTACACGACTTGACCCTGTACACATGTCAAACCAACTTGCTCGTTTGGCTGAGGAAGCCGCAGCCAGAGAGCAGCAGGACTCAGTGAACTAAGGTTTGTTAGGCTCGTTGAAACTTCGTCACTTGAAGTACTTTGGAATCAAACGCAACTCTTAAGCTCGAGAATTCTCAGTTATTCACAGTCTAGTTGTTCACCTTTTAGCAGAGCCCTTATGACCGAGAATGCAAGAAGGCCATGTTTTCTGCAGTGGCAGGAGTGCCAGAATGCCGCCCGAGAAGCCAAGATGTTGGCAGATCAGGCAAGATTCGGGAGAGTGGTTGGCGGCATGGGCTTGGATTCGGAGTCTTTCTCGACTCGGAGGTGGCCCTTGAAAGATTTTAAAGCATTTTGGCCTTACTACTAGGAGCAAGGACGCTACTAGGGGCTCCTGGCATCGCTACTAGGAGCGATCGGACACAACGAACGGGGCTCCTGGCCTTACTACGAACGGAGCAAAGGGCATCGCTACTAGTGATGGTCTTCTCCATGATGGGTCGATCCCAAAACAAGCCCGATCACATGCACGTCGCAGGGTCCAGGGGATTCACATTGTCGACCATGTCAGAACGTGATAACACAACCCCTCATGGACCTATACTTGATAAATATGATAATATATAAATATACAGATCAGATCATCATATTCCATACTTGATGTACTTGCGTCGCTTCTAGTAACAAGTGCCTTGCTAGTAGTAACAAGAAGCTACTAGGGGCTCCTGGCATCGCTACTAGGAGCAAGGACGCTACTATTTTCGCTTATAGAAGCATTTCACTACAATCCAGTTTTCACACTCCGTGCTGCCCGAGGCCCGTGAGTTGAGACTCCGTGCCGCAGAGGTGGTGTCGGTGGTGTGTCGGGGGTTGCTTCCCCAGCGTCCAAAAACTGATCAAGACCAAGTATAGGTGAACATCAGGGTAGCATAGGGTATAGATGGTAGTTCTATGTAATTATGTTGCAATTTATGGTGATGTTACAGTTAAAGACCCCAGTACCCGGCGATGCTAAGGGGCTTGGTGATAGCGGTCAGACCATCACAAGTATTAAGTATGTGTGCGTATGTGCATCTTTGTTTTTTTTGTTCACTAGGAATATCTTAATTTAAAAGCACTGTGATGTCAAGGTGCAACACATATCCGTGCGGCTACATCCTTTGTGTCTTTTTTTTCTAGGCAATGATCTCCAGCCACTGGTTTAGTGAAGTTTAGTGGATAACATCAAGACACTTGGTAGTTGTAGTGCGGTTGTTTATGGGACAGTCGGCTTCTGTTTAAAAGTTTGCAGCCAGCGAGTTGGGGACCGGTTGAGTCGCTCGTTCTCCTGCACTACGGAACTAGAATAATCAGGCGAAGCCACACGTATGCCAGGTAAATAATTATGTGCATCAGCCTGTGAATGAGCAGTACTTGCTCAGTGGACATATACTTAATTAAGACGTTTATGCAGCAGAGTATCTTTCCATTGAACGTAATATTTTGTTGTTTTTCTCGTCAGTAGATTCCGAGATTTGCCAGAGCATTTTGGCTCAAGCTGCCTCCGCCTTGCCGAGCTCAACATGACGACTTTCCAATGGGAGCAGGTGGGCTGTGGCTCGTTAGGTGATCACAGGTGATTTGGATGTTTGATAGGGATAAAAGAAATCCGAATGATGTGGACACTACCCAACTTGGTAACTTGGAATGAACTGGGTGGCGACTTGCTGGATTTGTTGCTCAGTTTTCCCTTACAGATCTTTACAGCTGATTCAGACGCCTCAGCCGCAATGTGGAGTCCCAGGATAGATGGTTTCAGAATCTTGAGTGAGTCCAATGCTCACGTCATGATAGAAGCTTTGTACTCGGAACATCACAATATTTGAGTAGGTTGCAAAGAATTTCTTAGCCCTGATATTAAGTAGATTCACTTGTCCATCAGATATCCTTGGAGCTTTGAGGACATCACAAATGAGATGACCCGACCCATGCGCCTGCCTGCAGGTGGGTGGTCGATGCAGGCTCGTCCTACCTGGCGACGTGGTGTCATGCACACCTGAGCAGATTCAGGAGGGCATGCGTCAGAAAGAGGTGAAGAAGAAGAGGCAGCAGCTAAAGGACAGCGCTGGGATGTGCGGGACCGTCATGTAAGCAAGATTCTGACTCGATGGCTTAGAAGAAAAAACACACATCAATGCAGAAGACAGATGGATCGCTGTTTTTGTTGCTTGCATCATATTATTATCCACAGCTCGCTGTTCATTAAAGTTAGAATATTGTTCTTGTATAATTATATAAGGCTGTTTTTTTCCATCACTTTTGGATGATTCGGGTAGGTGTTGTGCGGTCCATGTGGAAACCATTTGTGTTTTGTGTCCGTCAGAAGAATGTCTTCTTGCTGCTTCATGTTTGCATGCAAGTGACTCGGTGTTCCTCAACCTCAACATACCTCAACCCGTGAAAGAACATGACTCAAGACCAAATCAAGTTCCAATCGAAGCTTCGTGCTGATTCGCTGACCGGGCCTACCGGGCGTCCTTGATGGAACCCCTCCGCACGCATCGCACCTTTCTCATCACCGTGCGTCGGGTCTTTTCAGGAGCAGAAACGTCAGAGGCGGAGGGAGACTTGGACTGAAAAGACTCAAGACTTGTTTGGGCGCACGACGAAGAAGACTTGAGGCTGGCCCCCAAGTTAGGAGGTACATGGAAGCAGTCGAACATAGGTTGAGCTAGTTTTTAGCTATCTGATCTGACTGACTACTGATTCGAGCAATTTGGCTCCTTTTGGATTCCTGGAGACCAGCCGAAGAGGAGCACCCCGAAATGGGCTCTTTTGTATTCTTTTGTAATTAATTGTTTGTGGTGTTTTTCCATCGAGCTCACAGTGTAACCTCCAACGGAGACAGAATATCTATGAGCAAAGGGTCTGGCTCCAAAAGCAAACATGATTCAGTGATTGATTAACCCTCTGCATCCTTCTGCTATAGTTGGAATTAACAAATTGCGTGGTTTTGGGAAGTTGAGGGCTCAGGGTGCCATGCTTTTTGGCGCCATGATCCACATCCAGAGAGGAAGCAACCAGTGAACCGTGAAGCTTTCGTCGAAGGTGATGTACTGAAAAGACGGGTGGTGCTTTGTGTTTGCTGTTCTTACTGGATGTCACCCAGGATCCTTTTGCAGGGCTGGCGTAGTTTCGAATATAGTTTATCTTCCTTTTCCATCCACTTCTTCCAAACTGCCTGGTGTACTGCTGGACTTTCATTGAATTCCTATTGTGTTGTATTTAAACTCCTGCCAAGGAGAAGGAGGTGCAAGAGACAAAAGACTTCCTGGAGTCGCACAAGTTCGCCAGTGTGAATGCTCCAAAAGTTTCTTGCTTTGGCTTCCCGGCACTCTTTCGGTGCAACAGTGTTACTTTTTTGTTTAAATGATTTGTTGCTTTCCAAGTTGCCTGCCATTTGTTGGTGCAGATACAGTATTGACTGCGTTGTTATAACAGCAAACTTAACTTTGCTTGTATATTCTTTTCTGCTCCATTCCCCGATGGCCCAGGCTTCAAGCATACTTATCCTTTGCACGTGGCCGTTCAAGAAGGGAACGTTCGGATTTACAAGCTCCTCTTGAAGCGTGGGGCAGACCCTGAACTGACAGATCATCGTGGGAGGGTTGCCTGCTCATACCTGCCAAAGGCACGCTCAGCCGCGGACTACTGACGGACTGCTGATGTTCCCCACCACGACCTTGGCACGCCACAGTGCCAACGGAATCGTGGTGAGAGATTGAAATGGAATCGAGTGCTCAAACAGAATCAAATAGACACCCAACCATGCAACGCAGATGACAGATGCTTTGGCGACCTTACTCATTCGATACACTATTCACTATTCTTCTTCAGGTCTCAGGGATTGTTTGAGCTTGATGGATGACATTTCACTTGGAATAATTCGCCCGAAGAAGGGCTCCTATCCAATGCTACAACAGCTTGCATTGCTTGCCTCAAGGAGAACGCTCAGAGTCGCCACAGAGAATCACTAACTAAATGTAGCCGGTTAGTGTATGTCTTCGTTCTGGGCCGCCACTGTTATGGAGAGGAGTAGTCTAGCAAACCTAGAGTGACCCCCGGATAGACGGGCTCACAGAATCAGATAGAGACATGACATGAGATATCATGAGACAACATAGGATGTACGCGAGAGCAGAGTTGGATCATCTCTTCTATGTGTCTTTGTAATGCGTAATTTCCATGTTTAGCGGTGGCGGCCACGACTTCACTGGGTGAAATCACTGACCTTCCACGTCGATTTTAAGATCTTTTGCTGCAAGGCATGGAAGCCGGGCAGAATCGGAGAAATTACGCTTTTGGTAGGTCTCAATTTTCGAAACACCCGAACCGAACGTCCGCTGGAAGCGGTCAAGACGAAAGTCGACGTTGCAGCGCTGCTGCGCCCTGGGCCTTGTGCCCTTTGGAGGGCTGGCGCACTTGCACGTGTTAATTAATTCTTGTGTGAGTTCCAGATATATATTTATGGGTTCCCTTGGATGTTGATACTTGTCCTTGCATGGCAACGTTTCTGTTGGAGCTTCAAAGGCATATTTTCCACCTTTCGCCATGTTGCTTCGCGCTTCTTTGGCTCAATTTTTGACCTTTTGTTCCAATTGCTAGTGTGGTAGGTCACATATGCCTTCAGGCAGGAACCGTAAATGTCTCATTTATATGTAAATTGTTATTTACTGTTTGGTTGTTTAGGTGAACAGACAGTTGCGATTGATATGATCCAATCTACCCACTGCCCCGTAGGTACCCAACTCGAGGAGGTTTGATGGCAGTCGGCAATGCAAGGATAATATACATCCTTGTGGACACATGCCCGTATTTTCTGGAATTGCCACTCACTGGTACATGATCACGCGGGCAAGCCTCCATTGGAGTTGCTTGTCCCGCAGTAGCTTGCCTACATGACATGGACACGTATGCATCAAAGGCACGAAGCTCTTTTAGCAGATGTTTGGACATTTCCCAAACACTTTCGGTTCAGTCTTTGATGCTGGGAGCTGACCGACTTGCCGACATGACATGTAGGCCTCGCAACAGTTTGAAGCTTTCTTTTCACAGGCCCCTTCAGGTCATACACCTGTTTCGGGCCATAATTTTGTTCTTTTTTTGGCCGCTTGCTTTGGCCAGAATCGTTTTCATTTATAACACTTGTGGCATCTTCTAGCCAGTATGTTGTTGATGCTGCCTTGCTCGGACCAAGAGTAGGTAGTACGTGGTGTTTGTTTGGACCAACTTGCTGACACTTTTTTGTCGCTTCGATTCCGGACATGCCTGTCACTTCGCTCCGAGAGGCACCTTTGACTGTTACACCTTGGGTCTGTCCTATTACCTGCAGTCAGTAAACAATTACGGTATCACAATTTTTGAACGAGGCCTTAGTTTAACCATAATCATCCACTGATACTAGTGGTAGGATAGACCCAAGTTACATCTTTGATGCAATTCATGTTGCAGGGTTGTATAGAGCTCACGGTCGGCGTGCTTCTTGCGTTCACCCGCCGCGGACCAACGTCGAGGCGTTCTGTCCCGCAGGTCTGGGACTTTCTGCTTTTGGAGTCGCAGCCGCTCATTGGAAGACACTGGCCCCGAATTGGTTTACCCTCTTTAAGGCATCAAACCTGCCGAACCGGCAAGTTTTATGCCTGATAATATAGGACTTTGCATGCGTCGGAGAGCAGAGGATGGAAAAGCGGAAGCAACTCTTGCGTTTTTCATTTGTCACTATGACTCAACGAGATGTTGCACCTCAATTAGGGGGGTTTGTCAACGAGTGTCCACCGTCACAACTTGACCAGTTCCTTTGGATGGTTGCTATCCATGTCTCGAATTATGGCTTTTCGGAGATGATTTGAAACCAGGGTATTGCAAAGTGTTTCTGTGCAGTTCTTAACCTTTGTGGTGCTTTCACGATGCAATGTGCAAGTCTCTTGACAACTTTGAATGATCCCGAAGACGTCCACAAATTGCTTGGCCAACAGGCAACTCACAAAGCCTTCAGATGTTGTTATTTTTTGGTGAAAGTTGCAACTCGTCAAGATTCAGATTGGAGTTGGTTATCCCATGTCGCAAAGTCTAGCACCTCAAGAAACTCAATTGAGTTTATGCCTTCTGGACGCCATTGCCACCTAAGAATTACTGGAAATCGCGGAAAGCTACTCTGAATGTTCCTCCAGGTCATTGCCTTAGGTATAACTCAAGTGGCATTGACCACCCTGAACTTTCCAAAGTAAGAACCGGAGGCTCACTGGCCCTTCTTCTGGCACTTGTTGTGCCCTTCCTTTCCGGGAAGGCTACGACCGCAGAGCAGCAAAGCTCCTGCCTGCGAGAGGCATTCATGCGTTCGCTGGGTGCTGGGCAGGATAATGCAAGAGACTCTCAAGTCAAAGAATGCTTTTTGGGACAGACTGCCATGATTTGACTATCCGTTTCTGAATGTTTCTGAAGCTGGTAGCAAGTAGTAGTAGTAGTAGTAGTAGTAGTAGTAGTAGTAGCAGTAGCAGGAGTAGCAGTAGCAGGAGTAGTAGTAGTAGTAGTAGTAGTAGTAGTAGTAGTAGTAGTAGTAGTAGTAGTAGTAGTAGTAGTAGTCGTAGTAGTGGTAGTAGTGTCGGCGTCGGCGTCGGCATCGTCGTCGTTCGTAGTAACTTAGTAGCAGGTGTAGAAGTACAAGACAAAATATCCAGCACATATACTATCGCTATTAGGTTGGAGGCCATCGCTAGAGACAAAACATCCTACAAGAGAGAGGGAGAGAGAGTGGCCACTTTCAGGGACAATTGATCCAGAGGTCTCGAAGAATGAGGGGCCCTCAAACAAGTCATGCCACAGCGAGTTGCTTTGAAGTTCATTCACGTTTTGCTCAGACAGCCTCCTGCCTTGTCACATCCAGTTCCAACATTGTTTCAACCTTACTTCCACACCTGGCCTCGAATTTAACACCTTACCTTACCGCTGAAGTATGCCAAGAATTGGTGCCAAGAACTCCAACCAATTGGTGAGTGGTCTCTCCTTTGTCGGCTGACCCCATCCACATTCTCCGCCCGCCAGCCTTTGAGAGGCTGAGCGCTATGAGGAACAAGCTCGTCAGGTGGGGCTTGCGCTGGATCGAACTTCAGCTTTTGGAGAGAATTTAGGCTCCATCAACGTTTGGTTTGAGACTTGTGCCAGGAAACTAGGCAAATCATAGAACTGCCAAGATGACTTTCATACAGTAAACACAAAGAAGGCATTGTGGAACCCCCATCAAAGACATTTGCAATTTTGAGAAGCAAGAGATATTCTCCATTGTTGTCCACTTGTTTGTAGTGGACATTGCTCCACCCTTCTTGGATGGATTGAATAATGGAGACACTTCATCCAGAATAAACATGCCCTCTTGCTTGAGGAGATGGATGTCGCAATGTGTCGAACCCACAAATGACTCCACGAAGCTAGCGGCAGTTCTACTTGGGCCGATCGCTGCTTCTTACATCCCTGCGGATAAATTTTAAATGCTCATCCGGCAGGCACAACCAGGAGGTGAACCCCTGTTGAGAGGATAGCCAATAAATTGATCTCGTTTCTCCTCCCTGCATCGGCTTTGTCTCAAGTTGAGGACAACACCAGATGTATCTCTCCAACTTCCCCGTGCTTCCTCCTGAATACTTTGACTGATGCGGGTGCAAACGGCGAACATGACATGCTTGAGGTAGCTGCCACTGCTGCAGCTTCTTTTGTTTTGTTGTTTCCTCTTCTTCCTTTCTCTGATTTGCTTCTATCTGAGCTTGATCTTTTATGGTGGTTCGAAAGGCATACTTCAAAGCCGCGGAGTACCGATGCAAGGAAAATTCAACCTGGACAGCTTATCTCGTACGACAATAATGACCAATGATATTATGATATATTGAGATATGATGATATGACCGCCATGTTTGATTGAGGAACATCAATCATTTTGATACAGTTCTCTGTTGTGTACAGGTACAGTTTGCCATTATTTCCACCTCGCTGTTCCCGGCATAGTCCTCAATCATCATTTATTTGCGACCAAACCTGGAAGCCTAGCGACCATTTAAAAACAAAAAGAAACGTGGTTGCAGCAGGTCAGCCCCAAAAGAATGAAAGACCAATCAACAAATGTATGTCATGTGTATTTTTCTATAGCTGTTCCTGTCCCAGCATCTAGTAACTGATGGGTGAACATCTCCTAGCGCTCTCCGCGGTTGTTCTCGCGCCCTTGCACCAGGCTAGAGCGCGGTCTACCCGCGGCTATGGCCTTGGGCCACGTGCGCAGCAGCATGAATACCAGGAATCCCAGGAGCTGGGCGATGAGCGATGTGCATCCGGTGGCGTCCAAGATCACTTGTCTAGTGCGTTCATCACCTTTTTGGGGGTACTGTCCTTAGCATCATCCACTGTCAGAATGGGATGCACCTGAGGCAGAGCGATTGCCCCGTGATTCTAGGGCAACAACACCGTTGCGAACGAAGGAATTTTGATTAGTGGATAGGAAGATGAAGGACCTGGATGAATCCATAATTCTTAACGTACATTGTGATCCACGAACGAAAGGTAAACCAGGACCCGTCAAGAACCCCCAGCAACAAAAGATGAAGTTTCGGAACAAGCAACAAGGTTGAAATATAAACATGACACCAGATGCAACACAACAACAATACCTGAAACCTCCCATCTGCATCCTTCTACCATTTTATGCCTCCGTCCCGCGCAGGACCTGCCGCCTGTGGCCGCGGCTCCACCTGCGGGTGCAGTGGCCGAAGCACAGCTGGAGGAGATGGTGCGGCAGAAACAGCTGCGAGACCAGTGGCTGGGCAGAACTGGGGGACATTGGAACCCGGTGGAATGGGCTTCATCGATTCCTACAGTCCAACTGGGCTCTTATCAGCAGACAATGGTACGCAAGATCCAGAGGTCGGCGTCTCGGGTGCAAATTGTTTAGACTCAACGTGTGGTCTTGAGCGGGGTGCACATATATAGGTGCACATGAGCCAGTTTCAAACGTTTAGAAGACACACGTGCATTCATATTACAAGAGGTATGAGGTAAGCTCAAACACATTCGCACCATTTCGCACCAAGCGTTTGTTGCTTCATACAGCTGCGCCGCTTGTCATAAAGCAACATGATGCAATGATGCCACAGTTATTTGTTTTTTGGGGTGCAAAGGTCAAAATGCATAGCATCATTGCGTGCCCAGCCATAGAAAAGGCAGCCCGGGCGCTTTCCCAAACGAGTTGGTGATCATGTCATCTCTCAGGCAGGCCAGAGAGAAGCAGGACCGCGAGAGGGAGGCGCTACACCGTTCCGCAATGCGGAGGAACTCCACGGCACCGCTGGAGCCGCCGCATGAGCCACGCGAGCGCGAGCCGCTGCGCGAGTGGCCGTGCGAGCCACATGCTGTGTTGGCGGAGAAGGAGGAGAGTTGGAGACCAGTGCAGATGGAGACCAAGGAGCCAAGAAAAGATCAGCCGGCTCCGAGTGGTCATTTGCCAATGTCATCGGGCGAGCTGGCACTTTGGATGTGCCTTAGTTGATCAGTCGCATCGGTGGCTTGTTGTCGGTGTTTTCACGAAATGCTTTTCTGCTCTTTAGTCTTTCCAAATTCGCAGGGGGTGGGTTTGGCGGCTTGGCAGTTCGGTGGGAAACCCTGGGACCTGCTCAGCTTCAGGGATCTTGAGCTGGCTCAAGAGCGAATGCACGAAAAAGCACAATCCTTGGTTTGTGGATCTTTGGTGGGCGCTTGTTTTCCAATAAATATCTCAACTTGATTCATGTGGACAGAGCTTGATACCCCAGTTTCCGACCACATGCACATCAAGAGTTTGATTGCAGACAACAGCAAACTTCCCTGTACGCACGACCGGCCGTGACCGGTTCGCAGCCGTGACGCTTCAGGAGGGCTCCAGATTGGAGATCTGCCGAGTATTTGGCTAGCAGCCAGTTGGGCATCGGCGGCTTGATCTTGTTGGGAAGCTGATGATGGGGGCCGAGCAATCTTTTTTGCTTGTTTTTCCTGCTGTTCAGAGCAACAATTCCTGCTCGAAACATTGCTGGCCAAGTAGGTGGTGCAATCCTTGTAGAAACACTTGTCACTTGTTTGTGAAGAAAAGTTAGGAGAATTGCATGATTTGCATTCATTTGATCATTACTCATGGGCGGAAGCCTATGGACAACCTGTGTGAAGCCCTAGTTGCTGTAGCTTCAGAAGGTCATCTCATGGCGAGAATGCACGCAATCCTTCCTGAAGGAAAGCGTTCAGTTAGCTTGCCAAGAGGTGAATTAAGGTGGCACAGGGATGGAAGAGCAAAGATGCAGCATCCGTAGACAAGAATGAACAATCCAAGATGCACTGGACATCCAAGTTGATACTAGTCCAGAAGCATCAACCAATTAATCCATGGAAACTGCGTCATATCATCCACAAACCAACACATCCAAACCGCTTGTTGATCCCCCGATGAAGATTTTCTATTTATTTATTCTCCCTTGAATACCTCACTGGATTCGCCTGGTGAACATCCCTGTCCATGCAAAAGTCATGGAGAGTCATGGTGGCATCCTATGCCAGTAGTAAGGCCAGGAGCTACTAGTAGCGTCCTTGCTCCTAGTAGCGATGCCCTTTGCTACTAGTAGCGATGCCCTTGTTCCTAGTAGTGTTGCGTAGCTTCTTAGCCCCATTGGTTACCCTGGTCTTTTTGGAAGACCCCGTGATGGATCCGGGTAATCACTCCGTCACTCTCTTGTGTCTCCTGCGTGGGCAGCGGGCCTCAGGCCGCCGCAGTGGCAGCCAGCTCTCGGTGGATCGGTGGCTATGCATGAATCAGTCAGGTCATCTATGGATATCTATGGATAGAAGATGAAAGACTTAAACCCTAGTTACTAGTTGCCTATGACTCTATGACTCTGTATCATGAATGAATCATGAAACATAGAGGGCGAGCGCACACAGGCACAAACACGCACGCAATCCATCACAATCCGACAGATTAGGGTTTGAACATAGATCCCCACAACTACGGGGTATAGAAGCATCAAAATGCCCTTGTCCTTTTAGACTTTTTGACCAAGCTTCCAACTGGTGGGAGCGCCTCTTTGTTGTTCCATTCTTAAAGCGTCATCACGTTTTCTGCGCGCTCCGCTGCTCTTCCTTACCTTTGCCACCCGGCCTCCAGCGAGGTCTTTTGGGAACGGCGAGGTCCCACTGTTGCAGATCTGGGGGGACTCCAATGGCCAATGCCCTCGCGTGCTCTGACGACATAGCCACTGTGGGTCGCTGTGTGGAAGTAGCAAGCATGGTTTGCTCTGAACTGCGTAATACAGTCTTCTCCAGTGGTGAATTGTTATTTGAACGTGATCTTTGTTGATTTGAAGGGTGGAATGCACCCTTTTGTGCCCCTTAATGAAGCTCTGGCATTGCAACCAGGCTGACATTAGAAGAGGGTGTGGATCAAGACTAAAGGCAAAAGGTGGTAGGCGAACAGGTCTAGGTAGTCTTTTTCTGGGCAATTTCTTTGTTGGGGGGGGCTAAGGGTGGTTGTGGCAGTAAATTATTAGTTCTTAGCTAACCCTGGTTTTGTTAGAGATTTGTTCCCTGACCCTGCTCCAGGGCTTTGGTTTCCAGCTTGTCTTGATTTGCAGAGATTGATGGGTTCGCCACAGTTCTTCTTTGGGGTCGGCAGCGGATTGGCTTTGAGTTTCAGTTGGGAAACTCATTCCCACAAATACTCATTGCAATCTTGGCTCAAAGTCTCCATTGGATCTCGCTCATAGCAGTGCTTTGTTACCTAGCGATATCCCAGGGTGTGTTTTTCAGACGCTTGCACGTCTCGCAGCCCAGGAGCTACCTCGTTCAGGAGGCTCTTTGGATGAGTGGCACCTTCGCCAGCTGAAGGAAAAAGCGGCCTTGAGAAGGGCATGGCGATGGGCATGGCATAGGGAGTTTTGTGATTCAACTTCGCTTTTTGCTCAAATTCGCTGCGTTGGTGGACAAGTGTTTGGGTGGCCTGGCCGCTAAATCACAGAAAGCACTTCAATTTTGTTGTTTGGGTTTTGCGAGAAGACTAAGATAAGCCAGACATAAACTGACCACTCCAACACAGATCGTGGAACATTGACAAGTGGATTCGTTCGGGGGGCACGAAAGCGATTGGTTTTTTAATCAAAGTTTGCCGTGGGAGCAATTATGGCTGGGATTGCTTCAGGCTGTTTCACAAACCCAGCTATTGGAGGATCGAGATTGGAAGAGATTGTTTCAATTTCCTCTGGTTTCGTCCAAGTCCTTTCAATGCAAATCCAAAGCAGAAAACTGACAGATCTGTTTGCAGAAAGGTCCGTTTTTCGAGACTCACCTTTGGGGGTCCTGCTCCAGGCGGGTCCGGGAGGACGCTGCCGTCAGCTTAGCTCGGCGTGTGGCGGAAGATGCATCAGTTGTCCGGAAAATCGAAGAAATTGCCTTTCGTAGCGATGCCAGGAGCCCCTAGTAGCGTCCTTGTTACTACTAGTAAGGCACTTGTTACTAGAAGCGATGCACTTGTTCCTAATAGCTTCTTGCTCCTAGTAGCGATGCCAGGAACCCCTAGGAGCTTGTTGCTCCTAGTAGTCAGGCCAGGAGCTCCGTTCGTAGCGTCCTTGCTCCTAGTAGCGATGCTAGGAGCCCCTAATTTGTGAACCTTGTCCAATTTTTTACCCATTGGAGACCTGCCGGCTGTTTCAAGGATTGCATCAATGAAAGACTTCGGGGGTTGAATCAATATATCAGCCTGCAAGCGGATTGAGATGGATTGAGGCATTCGGAATAGCTTGGTATCAGAGCACGAAATCGATGTTCTCCCGTCATCCCGGCACGAGGCCCGACGTGAGCTCGACCTCCTGGAGGAGAAGATGATGCGGCAGGTCTTACGGTTGCAGGTGCGAGTGGGCGCTGCGCTTGGCAAAAGCTTTGTTTTTTTGGCTTGGCAGGTGAACCGCTCAGGATTCACTTTGGTGAAGATCCTGCTAGGACATCTTAGAGCGTCCTAGACATGACATTTTGCTGGAAGAATTTGACGGCTTTTGCAGGCTAGCTACTGAAACTCCAAGTCTTAAGAGTAAAGGTGATAGTGATGCTTCATTTTCTGGTCATCCTGAGTCATTGTCAAGTGGATAGAATATGGATGAATATTCTGGGAGAATTACTCTCCCCCACAGCACTTCTCAGCTACTCCTACCTTAAGTACATGTTGAGTTGGGATCCGACTGGACGCCAGGAGCAGTCAGAACGCTTCATGGACATCATGATGCATCCCTTGGAGGCGAAGGTGCGCTGTAAAAATAAAGAACTTTCCAAGAGCATGGCCCAAATTAGTTCTACCCAATGGTGAAGGTCATAGGTTCTATCAAATACGCATGCAAAGGCTTTGAGCCTCAATGCCTACAACCCTTTCCGACGCCCCTTCCGGCGTCGTCCGACGAGGTGGCTGCGCTGGAAGGCCGCCAACCGGTCATCGACTGTAGCATCGCTGAGTTCCTTGGCGCAAAGCGCGCGCTCGGCTCGGTCCGGGTGGTGAGCTTTGGGCAAGAGTGGTGAGAGCTCAAGGGGGAGTCCTGTCTTAGTTGATTTGCTTAAGGCTTAAGGTGTGGCATGTTAAATGAGTGCATGAAGTGAACCTTACTTGCTCCATACCCTGAAACTTCAAGGAACTCCCAGCACGACTTCTGGCACTGCTCGGTCTTTTTTCCCTCCGAGTGGGAATTTCTTTTGCCGTCTTCGTGTTGGGAAGGCAACTTGAGGGTCATGGCACGCTAATGCACCCTATACTCGTTCAATCTTATTCTTCAACAGCTCCAAGGATCAAGGCCATGAAAAGATGCCTAGAAAAGGTCCAGCGTTCAGATGTTTCTTCACTTGGACACTTGGAAATCCCCCCATGCCATACCACCATATAACACGAATATCTTGGAGTCTTCACGTGAAATGTCTAAGGATTTTCTTTGGATAGCATGTTGCGAAAGGGGATGAGAGGCCCAGTTATCCTTCCCATTCCTGTTGAAGCCAGCTTTTGAGCCGCCCGAGCCAACTGCCATGGCAAATGTGGTGATTCTCATTCCGTTCAATCCAGACGCTGAAGGCAAGGCTTAAATTTCTTCCAGAAGGGTCAAACGAAGCACCGGGACCCAGAGGTCCTACACTACACCATCATCGAGAATCTTGGCCTATGTGGGGTGCTCTAGCCTCATCCCTCACACATTGGATGGAACATTTGGAGCACTGTGAACAGTAGGAGCGCTTACCACCAAGTTCAATAGGAAATCTTTCATGGCAGCCCCAGTGGGTCGTAACCAGAAGCGCAAGATTCCATGTTACACATTGTTGTGCTTGTTTTCGAAGGAAATGCCTTGAACAGCCTGTCGAGGTGCGTGTGACCTGGAACAAAGCGCTCATGAGTTTCAAGAACAGCTGGCACAGTCGTCGAAGAAATCGCTCCCTGAGAAGGTTGAAGCCGACGTAAAAGAGATCAAAATTGTGTACAAGAATTCAACTGACCAGTACACGTGTGGAAAGGAGGACCGGCTGGTTGGCCACCATCTATTTGCAGGTGTCATAAAGATAGAGGTGACCTTCCAAATCATCCACAATCAAACCTACCGGTGTGAAGACAGCTGTTGGAAGTGCTTTGCTTGGACATGTTTGGTGTTTCTTAGTGTTTGAACAGCAGCCCGACACGAGGACAGGGTGATTCTTATGGCCCATGGTTGGGAAAAAGACTCCTCCCTCACGAACAACCAGGGTCAGGACTGCACTGCTGACGCTGCCATGAAGCTCCTGGAGGCCATTGACGCGCAGAACGCAGATCGGCTCCTGTTTTTTGGCTGCTACTCTGCAATGGAGAAGCATATTGCTCCGGCATGGAAGAAGAGACATCCTCATCAAGCCACCTATGGAGGACAGGGAGATGTGGCCAAACCGCAACACTGGTGTTTTGCGCTTGTTATAATTACAAGCGGCAAATGACCGTTGTTACCAACTAAACTCGTACTTGGGCAACACCATTCAAGGCAACTTAACCTGTTCGGAGCGGGTTTCGCCCTCTCTTGTTTGGCCTCACGGGAGGACTCTCAGATATTGCGACACTCTACAAGGGCCCTTTGAAATCTGGCACTTTCACCGGCGTTTGCACCGCCTTGACGGAAGTGGACTAGTGTGCACTAATTAGTGTGCACCAGCCCATGGCCAAGTTGGCCAGCCGTGGAGCACTGTAGAGTTTCTCACGTTGCCAGTGGAGGCCCATGAGCAGAGACAAAGTTTCTTGCCTTCACCTGGCTGGGATCTTTCATAGGGCAGAGCCAACAGAGCGAAAAGCCTGAAGATGGCCCGATTGTTTCTTGACACTGGCCAACCAGCTCCAAGTCTTGGTTTGGATCTACGGTCCTTTGGGCCATGTCATCGACCTGAATCACAGAGGTACGAAGCCCACTTGAGACCACTTGAGACTGCCGTGATGACTTGCTACTAGTAGCTTCTTGTTCCTAGTAGCGATGGCCTCCAACCTCATAGCGATGGCCTCCACCTAGCTAGAAGCTTTACCAGATCTCCGGCAGGCGGAGCTGATTCTACTTCTTAGCATGGTCGCTCCGTTCAACCCTACGATCTACCACCAATAATGAGGGGTGTAATATGTTGTTGCCGAACTTACACCACAAAACTCAAAACTCCTTTCTAGACCTATCAAAGGGCTGTATCATGGTGACAGCTTTTCCAATCAGGGGCTGCGACCCACGTGGGGCCAAGGTTGCGAGGCAATTTGAAGGGCATCCAAGACTCCATTGAGCTGCAGGCAGATGACTCGAACAGGGTAAGAGGTCCGATGAAGGAGATGCTGCATGTGGAGCAAGAGTTGAGTAGATACTGTAGATCTAAAAACCAGAAAGCATGTACCAGGTAGACCATACAGTTCCATTTGTCGACATCTTGCTGTAAGATATACACATATATAAATATGCATTATAACAGGACTTGGACGGTGTTTGTCCAGCAAGATGTGAGTTGGAGGGATTGACCCATGAAGATCCTCAGTCAAGCCTCCCTGGCAGGTGAGACGGTCCGATCAAAATGAGACCCGCATGTGCAAGTGGCGGAAGACCTTGGAGGATCGGCGAAGAACGACGCTGTGACCTGTGCGCATTGGCACGGACCGTTCGAAGGATACGTGGATCGTTGGGTGTCTTTGTGTGTTCTTCCTTCAACAAGACCATCATTTGATGTGAAGTCAACAGGTGCCGTGTCAGATGTTCGGCTGCAACAGCTTGTCGCAGCTCACGGTTCCAGTTTGGTTGTGTTATGCTGAGTTGATTGAACAGGTTGGAACATGTGTCGCAGCAAGTCCTGTCTGCTTCCGCGCCCGCCACCCACCACGCTCCCCTCGTCCGGCACGTCGCTTCACGCAGGAGCAAATGCACGCGCGGGTGGGGGAAGTCTCTAACCGCCTCGGCGAGGCGAAGCGGTCGAATCGCCCGGTTTGAGGCACCCAGCGTCTAGGCATTAGTTTCAGCTGTTGGGCTTATGATGGCTTATGTAGTTATACAGACAGCTTTTATCCATGTGTTTTTCCTTTCACGATTTGAACATGTTTAGATCATTGCTCGCACCAATCCCGACCGGATGGCTCCCCGCCAGGGCCCCTCTCCCTCAGAGACGGTGAGCCGCTCTGAGATGGTTGAGCTGGCAAAAGTGCTGAAGAAGGCGCCGAATCCGCACCCTTTCTGCAGCCAAACATGGGAAGACCGACGCCGTTTGGGTTCTTGAGAGACGGGATGGTGGGAAGAGGGTTTCCTTTAATCAGGCATTTCCTTCAGGTGCCAAAATGTTAGTGGCTACACACCTGCATGGAAGGTAGATCGCAAGTTCAAGATGTCTCATTGTGTTCTGTGTAGTGTGTTTGTGCCTTTCTAGACGCTGGGTTGCTGGGCTGCAATGTTTGGGACCGCTTTCTATCATTCTGAACTCCCCTCCCGCACCAATTGCCCCTGACAGTCCTCACACCCCTTTGGCAGCGTGCGGAAGATGGCACATGTTTGCTCACTTGGGATCCCTTGAGTCACTTGTGTGCACTCACGACTTGAGGTCAAGACTAAATCACCCGGACTCGGGAGCACCACGGATGCATGGCGGCAGTGTCCAGGAGTTGAAGAAACTCGTTGAGGAGGCGTTTCAGCAGGGCCATGCCGTCTCGCGTGAGGAGCGTTTGCCCTGGCAGCGTCTTTGGGCGTTGCAGATCTACGGGTAGTCAATATGTGTTTGACGGGCTTCTTCCCATTTGTGCGAGTCTTTATGAGTCTTTCATTTCTTTTGGATCAACAAGCTAAGGTTTGCAGAAGTTTCAGGTGGGTGATGAAACTATTACAGAAATATCTTGCTCCTTCACATGAGCAGACTCAACCGACTCAACTTTTCAAGGGCAGATTTCACAGATCCATGGGTTCGCTTGCACTAGGAGCTGGCGGGCTTGGGCACGGCCCTGCGAGAGGCGCGAGCTGGGGTTTGAAGTTGGGATGTACCAACGTTTCATGAGATGATCTCCATTGTTTCGTTGTTTTTGTTCTTTTTGTTGCAATCCAGCTGTTTTTTGTTCTCATGTCTTTTTCCGGTGTTTGCGGCCCAGTGTGGTTCGGATTTGTGGCCCAGGTGCAAAACTTAGAAACCGATTCATTCACAATTCGCATCTCGTCATAATGTGTGCGATGATGTGTGTCATCTCATCATACAAAAGCAGGTAACATCGAGCATAAGTAGTCCATATGGGAGTTATAGGCACATGTCTTGTCTCATGTGAGCTGGGTTCAATATTCATATATACAAATGAGGTCAGTGAGCGGTTGTAGTGCAATACCTGTATTTCATTTGCCATTTCCTTGCTTCCTGCTGTTTTCCACAGGTCACGTGCGTCAGGACTTATGGACCAATACAACCAATTCAAAATCGGCGGTGTTGGAAACACTGGAAGGCACTTTCAGCATGCGTATCCACACAACTCACTATTGCACCGATTGCAGTCTACCACACCATGCTGCTCCACCCCAGGAGATCGGAACCATTGAGAAACTTACGGCTGTGGACTGAGATGAACAAGGAACGAGAAAAGACAGAAGAAGTGTTACACCTGTTTACATAACTTAAAGTGTTATTGATACATTTATAACACATTGTTTTACACATTTTTGCATGCATGAATTACGATTTCTTCAAGGTTTAGTCTCCTCGTGTCCCGCCACTTGGGAAGTGTCAAGTTCTTGGTGCAGAGGGCAGTGAGTTGAAGCGAAGGTGATCTACTCAAAGCCTCTCAAAGGCAACAGATGTTGAAATATGCTTGTTCTTTGGACCCTCCTCTTCAGGATCTGTTTTTCTTGGCACATTGCGTTCCATGTGGAGCTTTTTCCGAACAATGCCCAAGTCTGGCCATCGAGCTCTCGTCCCAAGCAGCCCTCCCTACGGTGGATTGAGGCGGACACGGCGGCGCAAAAGCTCTCAGCACACCAGGCTGGTTTCGGGGCCTCGGGTTCTGGAGGTGATCCAAGCAGAAGGACGGTTACGGCTTGGTTCTTCCACTAAGTCCTTTGGAATCCTTTGGAGTTCGAAGAAGGACAAAAATCACACGAAAAAGAGCCCCTAGTAGCGTCCTTATTTCTAGTAGTACGGCCAGGAGCCCTAGTAGCTTCTTGTTTCTCCCTAGTAGCTCCTAGTAGCTCCTAGTTCAACGTCTCAGGTTCCACTGAGACCATTCTCAGTGGCCTTGGGCTTTGGCGCTCCCAGGATCTCACTACCGCGGCGGAAGCGGTCCGTCGGGGCTCCCGAGAAGCGCACAGATGCGGTGCCTTCAGAAGAGAGGAAGTTCTTTTTTGGCTTGTATCATATGATCAATATGGATTCTACATATAACATAATAGTTATATAACTTATATAATATGATATACTGTAATATATACTAGCTAATATATAATATACATATCCAGGCTTTGCCGGATGTTGCGGCCGCGTCAATCACAAGTGGCGCAGGATCGTCTATGGAACCCCGGGCTAGGAAGCATTCGTGACGCACACCTGTCCACACCACGTGGTTGGTGAAGGCTATAAAGACAATTCATTTCCCAAGTGTATTCACACCAAGTGGAAAAAACACGGAAACCGATCTTTGCTCTAACTTGACAGATTGCGTGTTTTTCGTTCTTGGCAGAGATCTTTGAGTCACACAGAAAATATATATATATAAGGGTTGAAGAACAGCCTAATTAAGCACTTTGGCAATGTCCCGGAAGCGACCAGGTGCTAGGCTTTGTGGTGTTGTAGACATTTGAAGAGGAACAATGGGTCACCCAAGGGCACCACTAAGGGAAGTTACAGTTACAGTAATCAACAATTCGATGTCAAAAGTATGCATGTAAGATTTCTTGTGAATTTTTGGGTGCCACCCCTTCAGGAGAGGAGATGAAATCCCTCACTGAGAAGGCTGGGCAGTGCCTGGCAATGTGTGGCTGCCGGTGAAGCTCGGATGGAAAGCTCCCATGAAACAATGGAAACCCATGTCATGCAAAAAAGTATGTGTCAGAGTTTGTCAATCAGAAGCGACCGGGAAAAACATACCCGTTTTATTGTGGAGTATTTCATGGGGCTCCATGAAGTCGTTCGGCCGTTCGGCCGTTTCCGGCACCGCATCCGCTGTTCAGTCCTGCGGTCACGGGCCGCCATGACAGGCCATTCAAGAAGAGGCACTGGTGCGAGCCAGCATGAGCGCTGTGCAAGATTTGGAGAAGGCCTGGATCTGGCTTTGAGGTTCATGGTGCCTATTGGCAGATACTGTGTATATATATATAAGTATATAACTTGGAATTGATCTCGACCTCTGCACCTCAGATTGTCCAAATATGTTCTGGCCCAATCCCTAAGACCCCTTGATACGCACCTTGGCAGAGTTCCACGGCTGCAGGGGTTGAACCTCAGCACAATCATCATTTCTCCCTCTGTAACAGGTGAATTTGTATCCAAGCATGCAAATTCTCGACACATTTGGGTCCGGGTACCTGTTTTCCAAGAGCGGATCAAGTGAGGCTGTCTGGCACCAAGTCAACAGATCTTGAGTAAGCTATAGCATCTGTTTGGCTCAACCGCTACAGCATGTTCAGGATATGATGAGTTCTTTGGCTTCATT